ATCAACTGCTTTCATAGGTATATAACCTAGAGAACTGAAAAGAGATGTTCATAGAAACACATGTACACAAATGTTCACAATAGCATTATTCACAATAGCCAAAAAGTAGAAAAACACCAAATATCCATCAGTTGAGCAATGGATAAACAAAACATGATATAGCCACACAAAGGAGCGTTATTTATCCATTCAGAGGAATACTGTATCGTTATGTGCTATGACATAGATGAACCTTAAAAACATTATCCTAAGTGAAAGAAGGTAGACACAAAAGACCATGTTCCTATGCAATCACATATTTATGAATTGTCTAGAAACAGGCAATCTATAGAGAAAAAGTAGATAAATTGGTAGTTTCCAGGGGCTGGGAGAAGCAGCGAATGAGTATAGGGTTCCTTTAGAGATACTGAAAACATTTTCAAATTAGTGGTGACAGCTACACAAACTTGTGAAAATGCTAAAAAGCAATGAATTGTGTACTTCAAAGATTCATTTTATGTTAATTATATCTAAATGTTTTTCATCTGTGAGAATGACAATAAAATGATGATGCTGATATTGTTGGGACCATGGAGAAAAAGACACATTACTTGTGTTCCTTATTAAGAGCAATTCAGCACCAGGAATTAAAAGGTTTCAAGAATCCTTGTGCTTTTCCCTTGCAATTCCAATTCCAGTATTTTATCATAAGAGAATAATTTAATGTAAGTGCAAGGATGTATGTGACGATATGTTCTTTACAGAATTATTTATAAAAATACTTTAAATCCTTGTCTAGAAATAAGGAGCTATTTAAATAATTAATCCATTTAATATTAAAAGGTATGTTTTTATTTATTAATATGGAAAGCTATTCAAATATCTCAAATGGAATAAAAGTGGGATACAAAATGAATATATAGTATGACTTATAATTTTTGTAAGTATATAGATCAAGTCATGATAGTCTGAAGGTGTGTTAGCTTTATCTTGCTCTGGCTTAGGAAGTGAGGAAATCAACTTCCAGGAGGAAAGATTTATTTTGGTTCACAGTTTGAGGGGTCTCAGTTTATGGTCAGTTGGCTCCATCACTTCTGGCCTTTGTTGAGGCAGATCAAGGTGGTGGGGAGTGCAGTGGTGAGGCACAGCTGCTCCCCTCAAGGCAGCCAGGAAACTGAGAGAGAGAGAGAGAGAGAGAGAGAGAGAGAGAGAGAGAGAGAGAAGGAAGGAAGGGTTAGAGAGAAAATATACCCTTCAAAGGTCAAGCCAGGGGATCTACTTCCTGAAACTAGGCCCCACCTCCCAAAGGTTGCACCATAGCATCACAGGTTGGCAGCCAAGCTTTCAGTACATGGCCTTTGGGGGACATTTCAGATCCAAATCATAACAGAAGGACATGTAACTATTAACAATTGTTGCCTGGGCAGATGTTAAGTGATATTTTGGTTGTTGTGAATATGAATTGTCTACTTTTCCACAATTAATATGTGCTATTAATAAAATAAATACTGACTTTTCAAAATATATTTAACAACTTTAATGTTGCTTCTATTGAGACAAATTGAGATTAGGTGCCCCGGAAATGATACACAGTATTAACTATGTAATATTCCTGCCCCCCCCAAAAAAGTCTAATCCAATTATAATTATGTGGAAATAAAGAAAATTTTAAGAACATCCTGTATATGTATGTCTTGGTCTTTTCAAATGTCAATATCATGAAAGGAAAAAGAAAGCCTGAGGGACTGTTCTAGATTAAAGGCCACTAAAGAAATATTACAATTGAATATAATTCACCATGCTTTTTTGTTCCCAACACAGTGGATAAAAATAAACCCACAACAAAACACATCTTTGTGAAATTTGTTAGAAACAGAGAAGAAAAATAAGCTGCTTTCTAGAAGGGAAAAAATAATGATCACATCAAAACAAATCATGAATGAGAATGACTTATAGCTTTTCAACACAAACACTTAGAAGCCAGGAAGCAATGCCTCCAAAATTTAGCAGGAAAATGTTTTCCTAAATAGAATTCTAAACCTTGCTAAATCATTAGTTAAACATGAAGTTAGAGTAAAGAAATTTTCAGATATGTAGTCTCAAAAAATTCCCCTTTCTCAAGAAGTCACTGAAGGATGCCTTCTTCCCAAGCAAGAAAATTAAATCAAGAAAGAAAAAAAAAATCATGAAATCAGAAAATTGGAGAACCAATCTAAGTGGAAGGAATCTCTAGGATGATGAACATGAAGAAAGATGCCAGAATGAGTGACCTAGAAGTCCACCTGTCCAGGCAGACTGTCTTCATGACTCAAGTAATGGACACAAGGAGGTCTCTCACTGCTTAGTCCTCAAACCTTATACAAACTTTTTAGCCTTTTGAAATAACGGATGTGTTCTACCAAGAGAATAAATCAAACAAACAACCCAAAGATTCAAGAAACAGGAACTGCAAACCAAAAGAGAGACAATTTCAGTGACAACAAGTAGAAGTCCCTGCCTGACAGTAATGTGTCACACCTAGAGAAATCAGCCCAAACTAAAAGGAAATGAAAGTCTCTGAAAAGGAGGTTTCCAGGGAGGAAAAAATGGAATTGCCATATTTTGTTACGAAACAGACCTTGTAGAAATTGTACAGAGGGACTATATGCCAGCACTTGTCTGACATGTGTGAGGCACTGGGTTCAATTCTTAGCATCGCATATAAAAAAATAAAAACAAAGGTCCATCAACAACTAAATAATAATAATTATTATTGTTATTAATTATTATCTATTCCTGTAATATCAGCTACTCCAGAAGCTGAATCTCAAGCTGCAGGCCAGCCTGGGCAATTAACTAAGACTCTGTCTTAAAATGAAAAAAAAAAAAAGGGCTGGGAATGTAGCTCAGTGGTAGAGCAGCCCTGTGTTCAATCCCTAGTACTAGCCCCCCCAAAAAAGGCATTACCTGTGATTACAATGAAAAGTAAGAGAAGGCAATTATTAATTTCCAAAACAGAAAATAATTATCTTTATAATATACTACAACACTCAGTGAAAATAGTTTCATTTTATAATAATGCAAACACTGAATACAGGTATATACCCAAATTGTAATATTACTATTTTGATACTATGAGAAAGAGAAAACAGTGGGAACAAAGATGTGAAAAGTAAATCTTCATCCTTTTCTAGTAAGAAGTTAACAGAAAATATCTAAAACTGTTGCATCAATAAAAGGCATTACACATTTATTACTTAAAATAATAGAATTATGTAAATACCAAAAGAAACAGCAAAGAGTATCTAGAAGATGTAAAAACAGAAATGTTAGGACAGAGAGTCATTTATGTTATCAGCTTTCTTGTTCTATTTGACTTTAAAACTATGTACATGTGCTATTTTGATAAGAATTAGTTTTTAAATCAATGTTTTAACAGGTCTTATGAAATGTTAAGTTCTATGAAATGTAATTTCACTGCTAGAGTATTGTTTTGTAATATGCATGACCATGTCAACAAATCTGAGACCAATTATAGAACTATCTTGAGGAATACTGAACTAACATTGGATAGGAGAATGATTGAATGATGAGTACTGCTAAGAGTGGATCATAAACTGGATAATGTTACATAGAAAAGGGCCTCGGACAAGACCCTGAAGAATGTGAAAATCAAAACTGGACTTTGGAGTTTTTCAGAGCTATCATTCTACCTCTTTCTTAAATGTCCCATCCAAGACAACTCCATCCACACATCTCCACAAAGCTTCCTTGGTCTTCTCTAGACAATATTGGGATGGGTAGGACAGGCATTTTTTTTTTCCTTAGGTGGTGGATTTATAGTCAAGGCAGGAACTTTCACTCCAGATTACCTGAAATACATTATATTCATTATTTCATCAACTGAACATATATTCACTGATATCTATTTTGTATCAGGCCCAGCACTGATATGACAATGAAAATGGCAAAGGTCTCTGACTAAAAAAGACCTTAAAAAATGAGATTCATACAACAACTGGAAGGACTGTCACATGTACCAAACCAAACCTTTCTATTCTGTGCATCTTCAAGTTCCAAACCTTGCATCAGCCTGGGAATGTGAACCCCAGCAGACACCCACACCTCCCTGGCCTACAGACCAGGAAGTACAGGAACTTCTACTTTTGCTGTGATTAACGTGAAGGATGCACAAAAGACAAATTGATGCTTCTAACAGGAAAACTAAAATTTGTTTGTGAAGTAGGACTAAAATAAAAGAGGCAGCATTTAATCTAAACCATTTCCTGTGATTTGGATTTCCTTTTAAAAAATTGGCCGCCTTATCATTTTCTTAGTCACCATTTCTCTAGGATTATTGGAGGCGTAGTCCCTCCTAGCAACCTCCCATCTGCTGGAAAACAGGATCAAGAGAAGGAGAGCCGTGGTGACACAATCCTCAGTGGATGAAAATACTAGGAAAAAGCAAAACACATATGTCATTTGCATAAAACCTATTAATGCCCTCTTCAGACAAATGAAATGAATTTTACATCACAGAGAGGGCAGCTGTAATCCACTGCTGCTAATAATGAGGAGTATCTGAAACTATCTGCAAACCACTGCCACTCCTAATTGCCAGGCAACAGCACTGCGTTTAGTTCTCTCCAACTGACACACTCCCATTGCTGGGCAAAGGAAGGCATATCTTCTTTCTGCTCAAAATGCTGTTAGGTTTCTGGCGCTCCTGTGTTCCTCATAGTAGCACAGACCCACAGCATTTCAAATCGGTCTTTTTGGTTTTCCTTTCTTCTTACAGGCAATCACGAAACCATGTGGGCGTGTGGGGGAGTTGGTACAATCTCCGTCTAGAGCTTCCTATCTCCTGTGTTGGGCCCTGGTTAACATTAGCCTTTACAAATGGCCAAGCAAAGCGACCAGCTGTGCTCTACCAGTAAATATTGAAAGTGTGAAGCTCCCAAAGCACTTATCCGCAGCTCCCGCATGGGTAGCTTGGAGGGCTGCCACAGAGATTATAAAAGAATATGTTAGGATTGGGGGGCGAGATGAGGAGAAGGTGGAGAATAGGAATCATGTGTGTTCCTTGAGTGTACAACCCACATTTGAGTGACAAATGACGAGGACAACCTATAAAAACAACTAAGTGCAAATCCACCCAAATCCATCTCCCTCTCGATGCGTGTGCTTTTCCAACTAACTTTAGGAACTCGTGTAGACCAGCGTCTCTTTCTGCGCCACCTCGCCTCCACTTTGGTTTCCCGCGCTCTGCCTGCCTTCTTCGGTGCCTCCCCTTCCTCCTGCCTAAGGATGGAAGATTCTTTCAGCCCCTCAACTCTGCCACCTGCGCCCAATCTCTCCGTACCCATCTTGCCGAACTGGAGTTTCAACCTGACTTCTGGGAAGGGAGCCAGCGTCCCGGGGCCGCAGTCGCCGCCACCCGGACCACTCATCCCCCGGGTCAGCCTGGTCTTACTGGGGGTCTTCTTGGTGGCGGCAGTGGCCGGCAACGCCACGGTGTTATGTCGCTTGTGCGGCGGCGGGCCGTGGGCAGGTCCCAAGCGTCGCAAGATGGACTTCCTGCTGATGCAGCTGGCCGTGGCGGACCTGTACGCGTGCGGGGGTACTGCACTGTCCCAGCTGGGCTGGGAGATGCTGGAAGGGCCGCGTCCGGCTGCGGGCGACCTGGCGTGCCGTTTCATGCAGCTGCTACAGGCGTCTGGCCGGGGTGCCTCTGCCCATTTCGTGGCACTCATCGCTCTCGAGCGCCAGCGCGCTGTGCGACGTCCCCAGGGCCCGCCGCTGCCCGCACGCTCCCTCGCCGCCTTGGGCTGGCTGCTGGCGCTACTCCTGGCACTGCCCCCGACTTTCGTGGTGCGCGGGGGCATTCCGCAGCCGCCGCCTTCCTCCGCGTCTCCGGCCGCCCGCTCTTGGCCTGGGGAGCGTCGCTGCCGCGGCATCTTCGCCCTCCTCCCGCGCTGGCATCTGCAGATCTACGCGCTCTACGAGGCTGTCGCGGGCTTCGGGGCGCCAGTCGCGGTCATGGGCGTCGCTTGCAGCCACCTGCTCAGCGTTTGGTGGCAGCGCCGGCCCCAGGCCCAAGCCATTGCGGCTCCCTGGTCGGCTAGTCCGGCCGGAGGCCCCGAGCCCAGTGCGCTGCCCCGTGCCAAGGTGCAGAGCCTGAAGATGAGCCTGGTACTGGCGCTGCTATTTGTGGGCTCTGAGCTGCCCTACTTCGCCGCCCGGTTGGCGGCCGCGTGGTCGTCCAGGCCTGCGGGAGACTGGGAGGGAGGCCAGGCGGCCGTTTTGCGCGCCGTGGGAGTGGCCAGTAGTGCCCTCAACCCTTTCGTCTACCTCTTCTTCCAGGCGGGCGATGGCTGGCTTTGGCGGCGGCTACGGAGGCGCCTGGGCGCTGTGTGCTGCGCGCGGGAGGGAGTCTCGGAAGACAACGAGTGGGCCGGGGACCACCAGGCGCTCCACCGCCACCGGTGGCCCCACCCGCACTACCACCACGCTCGGCGGGAACAGCGGGACCAGGGCTGCATGCGCCCACCCCCGCCGCGCCCCAGACCGCTGCCCTGCTCCTGCGAAAGCGCCTTCTAGGGCCACATTTGGGCGGAGGCAGGTCACCTGTTGCCGCAGCTTGGCCTCCAGGTGGGGTGAGACCCTGAAGCTGTCCCCTTCCTCCACGCCCCTATTTTATGTTTTTTTGGGTTGTTTGTGTGTGTGTGTGTGTGTGTGTGTGTGTGTTTGTGTGTGTGTGTGTAATGTTTACGTTTTCCTACACTTTGCACTTATTTTCTTCCCTTCAATTCCTCTCACATTTTTCCTCACTTGGAGAGGAGAGAGCCTTTGGAAAGTTGTGAAAAAAAATGGATTTCGGAGTTATTTTTGCAGTTTTCTTTCATTCTCCCATTGTGTTCTGGATAAGACAGTTTATTTTAGCTAAACTACCAAACTTTCATTATTTGTTGTGATATCATCTGGTTTTCGTTATTTCGAATCTTGCTTAAATCAAGTGTACCTTGAGTACTAGGGAGTTTGCCATTCCTTCCAAAAGAAGGGAAGTCCCCATATTACTCTCCCTGGGGAGATAAGGAGTTATACCAGTAATACTGTCAGAAATGTAATCATGCTGCCACTTTAAAGACACAGAGTATTTGTAAAATAAAAACATTTCCCACAGAGCAATTAGGTATTTTTTTTAACGTGGTAATGTTTTTTCTCAGAAGAAAAATAAATGTGGCTTTTCTTTCCAGTCTTGCTTTCACTGAAGCTAAGATTGTAGGAAGGAAACAAAAGTTTCCCTTAGCCCCTTTTAAACATGCCTGGTTTTTGTAGGAAATAGTCCCTATACCCAGATCAGCTTCTAAAGCTATAATGTGCCCAGGTGGAGACTCTTAGTGCAAAGTCCCAGCTAACCAGAGAAAAAAAGTGCTAAGATGTGTACAGGGATGGGGCTCATTGTCCCAAATGTATCCTTAATGAAATATGCAGCAAGAAAGGAAGTTGAGACCTCTAAATACTTCATGTATATATAAAATTCCCATTTAGAAAAACAAATCCAATACCAGGTCAGTGACACACATTTATGTAATGCCAACTACTTAAGAAGCTAAGCCAGGAGAATGGACTAGCCTGGGCAACTTCAAAAAACCTTTCTCAAAATTAAAAAAAAAAGAGTAAATAAATAAATTCAAAACCTATTGATGTGGATTGCTGAAAACAAAGTCAACAAACAGATTTGATCCAAGACCTTTTCCTCTTAACTGTCCTTCATTCTAGAAAGAAGTAGCAGCACTTATGAACAATATATCCACATCCTTACCAGTGACTTTCACCCAAGAATCTGCAGCTTTCTATGGTTGTGTTTCTTGTTCATAAACAAATACAAGACTAAGATGCACAAAGGGGAAATGACTGGTTAAAGCTTATTTGTAGATCCAATACTCTATGAGAGCTGTTTTGTTCACTGCTGTATCTTAAATGCTTTCAACATTCCACACAGAGTAGGCATTCAATACACATTTGTTGTCTAATTTATCACATGAGTTCGGCATGGATAGAACAGATAAATCTTAAAACAAAAGAAAATATTTACTTAGTGTGGTTTACCTTCCTCCAGAATTTTGACAACAAATGTTACAGAATTAAATAAATTTTCCTTCTTCTTTTTGCCTCTCCTACCCTGTTGAGTATATTATGGTCTGAAAAATATCAGAAATATGTCATTCAAAAGGGACAGTTGTTTTCTTCAGAAACTGTATGGTGATCTTCATGAACCCAAGTTGGGACTATAGAGAATTTTTGCTCATTAATCAACATTTATTACCTACTTATTTTGTGACAGATAGTGTACTAGAAATTGGAAATGCCGGCGTATTACCTGACACAAAATAAGACACCTTTTTTCCATCAAAGACTGCATGCTCAGATATAATCTGACAATAATACTGCAGGATCACATGCTCAGGGGGTGTTAGGAGCCCTGAAGAGGAGCATCTAGTAATCTTACGAGACATCGGAAGCCAATTAGGAAAGGCTGAGTCTTGAAGGTTGACCTGGGTGATCTATCAGATAGGGAAGGATGTCCTACACAATGGGAAGAATCTCTGTAAAGCATAAAGGAGACATAATACAACATGGGCAAGCAATGACAATAGTGAAATGTTTAGCATTAGGGCTCCTGTGGGGTTGAACTGATGGAATACGATGCCAACAAGATCGGCCTAGACCCAATGAAGAAAGATCTGTGGGCCAGACCAAGAAAGTAAGAAGTAGCCTTTGAAGAACTTAATCAGAGTTCTAACATGATCATGCTTGAATTTTGGAAATGTCATTTCAATGATGGCACAATGGACCAATTGGAAGAGCAGTCCTTCCTAGAAGCAGAGATCAAGGCAGAAATTCAGAGACTATTCAAACTATGACTTGTAGTATTATGCTACTTAGGATGATCTCAACTGAGATAATAAATTTTATCTAGCTGAATTGGGTTTTTTGCTGCCTGTGGTTGACAGAACCCTAACAAAGCTGATTCAAGTGGCTTAAATTTTCATCTCATATAATAAGAAGTCTAGTGGTAGGCTGCACCAGAGTTGACTAATTGAGTAACAACTTCATAATCAAAGACTGTGATGGTTAATTTTATATGTAAACTTGACTAACAGATCCCAGATAAAACATTTTGGGGTGGGCCTGTGCAGTGTTTCCAGAAGAGGTCAACATTTTAATCAACAGACTGAGCAAAAAAGGTCCTTCTTTACCAATGTTGGTAGACATCATCCAGTCTACTGAGGGACCTCCAAATAGAACAAAAAGGCAGAGGAAGGGCAAATTCACTATCTTTTCTGGAACTGAGACATCCATCTTTTCCTGCCCTTGAGTGGAGTTCCTGTTTTGAGGCCTTCAAACCTTAGGACTTATTTTCCTAGCATTCCTCCCTACCCCTGCCTCACACACCTGGTTCTCAATCCTATGCACTTGCACTGAATTACACTATAAGCTTCCCTGGGTCTCCAGCTTTCACACAACATATTGTGGAACTTCTCAGCCTTCATAATCACATGAGCCAATTGCTATAATAAATTTATATATATATATATATATATATATATGATGTTGTTTTTTTTTCTCTGGAGAATCCTGACCAATACCTTGACTCAGACCATTTTTTTTTCTTTACATTCTGCCATCATGAGTGGAAGACCTGGAGGCTAATTCCCCTTGAGGTCATAAAATGCATTCTGAAGTTACAGTCATCACATTGAAACCTAACAATGTCCAGAAGAACACTTTCTCTTTCTCTTTCCCTCTCCCCACCCCTCCTCTCTCTCTCTCTTTCTTTCCTCTTCATGAGAATGAAGAAACATTTCTCAGAAGACTCCAGCAGACTCTCCTACATGGTTCATTTGCAGAAATATATCATATATTCATGTCTAGAGCTATCATTGCAAGGGGAAGGGACACCATGATTGGACTGGACATGGAACTGAGGATATGAATTACCTTAGGGTGGGAGTGGGGTGAAAAAATAAGGCTCTATAGGAAAAGAAGATATATGTTTGGGAAGGCAAACTAAAACCTTTAAATAATTGTAAAAATGTTTAAGAATTTGATTTTTACAATCTAGTAGGTGTTTTTTTTTCCAGATGATTTCCTGCTAGAAATTTTGAGAATTTTCCAGCTGGGTTGGAAATATAGAATAGCAACCTCAGATATTAATTTGAAGTTTTGTTGAACTGATTGTCTAGGAAGATTTTGTGGAAGATTTAGTTAGCCCAATTCATACTGAAATGCTTCTCTTCTAAGTAAGGAACTTCCACTAATTTTAACTTACTCTGAAATTTGAAGGAAGCATTTGTAGGTTAATAAAGTTGAAGCCTCCCCTTGGAATGATCATTCAGTGTTGATCTAGGAATCCATATTCTTTAATACAACCCATTTTAGTTGTGTCTCAGTCAGGGACTTTACTTGCTATTTAGACTTAGATTCTTACTACAATAAGACAAACTATTCCCATCACACAGCAAAGGTAAATAAGTGGATTGGCCTTGAAATTGACAATTTCAAGATATTTGCCAAATTTCTCAAGGTATCACCCAAATAGAAAATGTCTAGATGTGAAACCAGGTCCACATACTTGAAGTATGTTAACAAATCGAGTTGACCCAAAAAAATAGAGAAATCTATCCCTCTACTCACTCTTAAATTTTAATGAAGCCTCTGATACAGACCTGGGCTGCAGGACTCCAGAGGACACTATTCATACAGATTAATATGTGAATATCACCATCAGATTTGAGCAATGTGGAAATCCTAATACAACTTTGAACACTAAATGCAAGGGATTATATATATATATACATACATATATGTATATATATATATATATATATATATATATATATATATAAGAATTAGCCACACAGTAACACAGAGTTGTAAAATAAGTAAACATCAGAAGTATTTTGAAATGTTTAACATACTTAGCAGTATAACTATGTAAACCACAACTAGTGACTAGCTATAAGTCAGATACTAAAAATAGAATAGTCTAGCTCATCTGTGAAAGAAAAGATAGATTTTAAACATTTTTTTCTAAGCCATTTCCTAGGAAGCATGGAAAAATTTTAAAAATTTGAGGAGTTTTAGTAGAGCTAATTTAAATACAAATTTTTATATACAACTTGTTATATTTTTCATTTTGTAATTCTGCTAAAATCAAAATCAAATCATGTATTTGATAAAATTCAAGTTTCTATTTACATGGTCCCTTTCCAACTTAATAATGTTGGTCTTAACGTAGCTAATAAATGACTCTTGTCAAGCATCATAGCCAACTAAACATAATAAGTCTCTCCTTATTATTAAAATACTTGTACTATACTAAACTATTGTCTACAACTTAAAACTAACGATATTATGTCTTATGCCAGCCTTTTATTCAATTTAAATAAATAAAAAGGGAAAAAACAGGACCCTACATACACACACTAAATTTTATGGGATATTTCAAAAAATTATACTTAAATTGTAATACTAAAAGTCTTACTACTGCTGAACATGGTTCAGCAAATTAAATCAGATTTCAAAAGATAGTATCTAAATCTGTCATCATGGAAATGGCTGAAAAACCTGACATAAGAAGGTAAATCTCCAGCCACAGAGTTTACAACCATACAAGCTTCCCGAATTGCCAGGTAAGAAAAACCTATGAAGAGACTTCTATGGACCCAATTCCCCAAGTCCACTTTTAATGTACTTTACAATGTGGACTGGAAAATACATCCATGTGACTAGATTAATTATACTGGCTATAATGGTCAGCTAGCTATATGTTGATTCCATGAGAAGAATGCTGGCTGTCTAAGGGTATTTTTTGAGGAAAAGACAGCATATGGGAACCTAAACCAGCCAATCTTGCTGGTCCTTAGAATGTAAGACTATACCATCTGGACATTTGTCAGAATAGAAAGATTATTGAAATAGAATTTTCCCTTAAAAGCCAGTTATTTACGTAGAATATATGATTGCTCTAATCACTCTATAATAGAATTTGGCAACTTTCCTAAATGGATGGATTGTGCAAATGTCTTTCCATTACAACATAAAGTGTCTAGAAATAGTGGATATATTTTAGACTCGTCTCCCAGAATTGACAAAGACAATTACACAAGGATGCCATGACCCCTGGAGGTTTTATTGGTTATACCTTAACCCTTGGCGAGATGGCATCCAGAAGGATGTTTGGTGCTTAATTGCTGCCCCAGAATTTTTGCATTACTGACAGATCTATGCTGATTTTGTAGACAGAAACTGTAAGGAAGGTTCCTGCTATGGCCTGTGGGCCTACATTCAATCTCCTTATGCTCTAATTATTGGAAATGTGAGAATTAACAGAAAAGATAATAAATATCTTGTAGCCTGTAAAAAATGCAATTTAACTAACTATATCACTAGTTATAGTAGAGGAAGGTAACTTTGATCCTTCATCAATCCTCTGTTGTCTTAGTGCCAGCTAACATTTCAGAACTGTGGTATGTTGAAGTTGGTGTTCAGGCTTTGCAACAGATACATGCCCAGTTAACCAGACCTAAGCAAGCTCTTGGTCTCATGATCTTTGCAGTGACTACTTTACTTTTATTCATTGTTTCTACGATTACAGCCTCTGCAACTATGTCTTAAAACTTACAACATGTAAATTTTCTTAATAATTTGGCTTAAATTACTTAAAGTGTTCCATAATCAGATGAATATTGATGGAAGGATTGAAACTAAGTTGAATGCTCTAGAAGCTGCTGTAATAAATATTGCCCATGAGCTTTCTGCTTTCAAGTTTAAGGAAAGGCTTGAATGCCATGTTGATTATAAATATGTCTGTGTTACTGTGGCCAAATACAATGCTTACCAATAAGATTGGGAAAAGATTAAAAATCTTCTGATGGGTATTTGGCAAAGCAATAATAATAACCTAGAGTTACTTCACCATATCCAGGGTGTTCAAAAAGGTAAAATTGATCTTTTGGATCCTACCTCTCTAGTTGATCAAATATTTCAAGTATTAAATGGCTTTAATCCTAAAAACATTCTACATGGTATGTTATTGAAATGATATGTTTTCTACTAATTCTCTTTTTAAAATTTTTTTAAGTTGTAGATGGACACAATATCTAAAGACCCA